AGCAACTGAGACACTGTGGCTGGACCGAAGCAGCCCATCATTTCTCAGTGTCGATAAATCAAGTAGTCTTTTTGAGAAGTCAACTGTAGTTGTGCCCTTTAGCGATGCTGGTTGCTGCCATACGAATGAGGAATTTCCACCACTCGCTCGATCCTCCAAAAAAATACACACAAAGTACCCGCTTGTGCAGACATACGGTACATGTGTGTATTGCACATCCGCCTTTGTCTCCCGAGTACTGATGCTTTATACACACCGCGTCGGGTGATTTCTCTTTTTAAATCCTTTATATTAAGTTCACTTGCTTGCTTGCATGCGCGCTTACGACCGTGCAAATCTTTCGGTCGTTTTTTAGCCCACTTCCCGCGATCCAATCGAGCTGACATTTTGCACACAGACTCGTTGTGTAGGGAAAAAAATTATATATAATTACCAATTGCTTAATGGTGGCAGGCAATCATCTGACCCATAGGTGGCAGCCATCTCAAGCCAGTGGACGAGAGGACTCTAGCCGCCACGCATATAAAGGATTTATAGTGAAAAACTTTGTTTTTACGGGTTAATTATTTTTGAAGGTTGAGTCACCCCAGCGGAGAACCAGAACGGGTTCAGATACAGGGCATGGACATTCCTCACCACTGATATTCACCGTTCAGCCAGGAATCAACATCAGCTCCGCCGGTTTTACAGCGCAGTGCGCTCACCACAGCGCAGCGGGCTTCTTACAACAATAAAAATAAAAACACAAGCGCCCGAACAGGGACTTGAACCCTGGACCCTCAGATTAAAAGTCTGATGCTCTACCGACTGAGCTATCCGGGCCCATGCGTTCACAGCGGCAACACAAACGGAACAACGAACAACCCCCCCACCCACCCCTGAGTCGACACGCAAACTCGACATGTTGATCGCGAGCACCGACCAAGGCCAAAACGGCACGTGAGGAAGTGATGGCCAGCAACCACACCCGGCCGCCTTTGTCTCCTCAGTTCCGCGAATGTTTACACGCAGCGCCAGGCACTCGTTTAAGGCTGAGCCGACCCAGGTGGGAGGTTCATTCAGGACCGGTTTAGATATTCGTCACTGATGTTGGCCGTGAGTGCAAATCTCAGATACCTAATCATGCACTTAATTTATAGCCTTTAACAGACTGGCAAAGTGCCGTTAGCGGGCACCTTATGAAAGCCGGCGCAGCACGCGATGGGGGTGAAGTGGTCAGAGCCACGCACAGCCACATTTGTCTCCCCAATGCTTCTTGCGGAGTGACAGACCAGGTAGCTTCCACACAGCGTTACGCAACCGATGAAAAGATAATGCCGCTCGACTGATTCGGAGTGAGACCTCTGCTGTTAAACCGGAGCCGGTCATTAGCGCACTGCCCAGGTATGGGAAACTCTCCACTCTCTCCACAACTGCCCTTGTGGGGTGGAGTGTCCGATGTTACACAATATCCAGGCAGGTGCTTAGTTTTGGTGGGGCTGATGGTAAGTCGCCATCTCTTAGTGGCTATTTAAGGCTTCACGAACTACATGGTCGAAATAGATGCTAAATAATGTGGGAGCCAGAGGACATCCCTGTTGCACCCCAAAATGTTGAGGGAATGGCTCTGACTCCCGGCCACGTAGTTTTACCCGGGCCCGCTCACCATCATGAAGGTCCTTAATGATCATGAGCAGAATTTCAGGGACTCCGAAAGCACGAAGAACAACCCAGAGACCAGGCCTACTGATGGTATCATAGACCTTGACCAGGTCAATAAAGCAGAGATGTAGGTCTTGTTGGAATTCTCTACACCTCTGCTATAGCAGACGGACAGAAAATATGGCATCTGTGCAGGACCGCCCTTTCCTGAAACCGCATTGGGGCTCCACAAGCCTCTCCTAAGCGTGCCTAGCAAGGCGATGTTGAATAATATAATCTTTGCCAGTACCTTACCCGGTACACTGAGGAATGAGTTGTTACAGTCTGTGCGGTGCCCTTTCTCAAAGAGGGGGACCACCAGGGCATCCTTGCAATCCTGTGGAACCCGTCCAGTGGTCCAAACTGTTGTTATGATGTCATATAGGGTAGTCTGTGCACAAACGCCACCCTCCCTCAGCATTTCGCTTGGGAGATCATCTCTGCCTGGTGCCTTTCCTGGTCTCAGGCTCTGGATCGCCTTCAGTACTTCCTCAACAGATGGCACCTCAGCCAGCCAATCACAGGGGGTGGCTTTTTCCAATATTTGAGGCACCGCAGCCTCGGCATGGTCATCCCCACTTTGTCCCAGGTTGTCTTCCAGGATTGAGGGATTTCCCCTCCCCCAGGACCTCACAGAAATGCTCAGCAAATCTGAAAACCTGTTCCTGGGGGTCGGAGATTGGATCACCGTTATTTCCCCTAATGATGTTAATAGATGTGGTGCTGCAGGTTACTTTTTTCATGGAATTAAAGAGCGATTTGGGATCGCGGGCAATTAAAGCAGACTCCATCTCCTCAGCAATCCGCGACCACCACCAATCTTTGCAGCACCTCACGGCTCTCCGAACCTCCGAGTGAAGGCTGTGGTAAGCCTCCTCATTCTCCGACGTGGGATGCTGTAGCCGATGAGTGGGCCTGTCACTTTTTCTCAGCCAGCTTGAACACCTCATCTGTCAGCCAGGGTCTCTGGGAAGGTCTGGACCGTGTACCCAAAGCAGCCATTGCATCTACATGAGCCACAGTCCTAAACTTCGCCACATTCCTTTAGACATCAAGAGGAAGTGGGGGACGATGCCAACCCCAGCCGCAAGCAGTGATGAAATTTCCACTTGCAACTTTCATCAGCTAGCTGAGACCATGCCACTAAGGGTTTGAAAGGGGTTCTGGGTGTAAACCACCACCGGATTGGATGAATGGCAGGGGCATCTTACAGATGACAAGTCGATGATCAGTGGGCAGATCAGCTCCACGGTAGGTCCTGGTGTCAAGGACATGGGCCCACATCCGCTGTTCCATCACTATGTAGTCCAGCAGATGTTCTTGCTTGGACCCGGCATACGTCCATTATGTTGTGTGGATGCGCCGATGCCGGAACAGCATGTTGGTAATTATAAGCCCATGGGCTGCACAAAAATCTAGCAGCCTCCTGCCGTTGTTATTGAGCTGATCTGGCCCATGCCTTCCAATCACTCTAGAACAGGTGCCAGCATCATGACCAACTCGGGCATTGAAGTCACCCAACAAGATGACTCTATCCCGAGGGGCCACTTTAGCTAGCACTTGTGACAGGAGGTCATAGAAGACATCTGACTCATCGGCCTTGCCTGCATCCCTCCACGGATGTTCGTCTTCGGTGGGGGCATAAGTAACCACGACCACCACTCCTCGCCTCTGGTTGATGGGAAGGTGAGCTCAAAGTAGCCTGGGGCTTACAGCTTCCCATACCTCTCCGCCATGCTCCCACGCCTCCTTCATTCTTTTGTTCAGAAGAAGAGCCACTCCCTGTTGTTTGGCAGTCTCCGGCCCCGAGAATAGGACTGTCCACCAGACCTCCTGAATACCACAGAGATCCAGGCGGTACCGGTCCAGCTCCTGACAGAGAAGTGGCAGCCTCTCCTCCGCCATGAGCAGTCGCTCATTCCACGTGGCCATCCGTAGTGGTTTTTTGTTGTTTCTGGGCAGAGCCGGCCTAGCCACTAAGCGACCCTTGCAATTGCAAAGGGCCCCGTGGCCAGCAGAGGGCCCCCCTAGAGTCACTGCTAGCTCGTGGGTGAAAAAAATCATACATCAAAGGGGCCTCCAACCAAATTTTGCTTAGGGCCCCCAAAGGTCTAGGGCCGGTTCTGTTTCTGGGGGAGCCGCGAGGGTAAGGATTCAGTCTCGTGGCTCCGCCAAATGGGGTTTGGCCAGGAGACATCATAGACGCCTGTCCCCCTGGGGCCTCCGGCACAAGCTTATTAATTAAATATTTCCGTCGTGGTTTTGTGGTAATTAATTGAAGGTGGAGGGGTTACCAGCCCCTCGCACCCGTCCAGAGCCCCCATTTGGCCGCTGTGGTGATTACAAACGCCATGAGGGGAGAGGCCCATTTAAATTGGCCCTCCCCCCACGGCACTGGCCACCACAGCGTTACCGCCTGGCACCACGAGGAGGTAGGGGGTTGTTTTTGCCGTACACACATGTGCACACATGTAGACACAGATCCCCCGTATATCCTTAACAGACTGTAGGGGCAAGTGCTGTTAGCGAGCACCTATAAAGACCGGCACGGCACACGAGGGTGTGGGTGGCCAACACCACGCCCGGCCGCCTTTGTCTCCCTAGTGGCGATGTTAACACATCGCACCGGGTTCTCATTTTAGGCTGAGTCGAGCTAGGGGAGGTGCAGGACCCGTTCAAACAATCGTCACCGGTGTTGGTCGTGAGCGTGAATCGAACCCGGTGGCCAGGTTCGTAGCGCAGCGCGCTAACCGCTATGCTACCGCTCTCCATGCACACACACACACAGGCACACACACAGACACACACACAGACACACACACACACACTCAGGCACACACACAGACACACACACAGACACACACACAGATACACACACAGGCACACACACAGGCACACACACAGACACGCACACAGGCACGCACACAGACACACACACAGACACACACACAGACACACACACAGACACACAGACACACACACACAGGCACACACACACACAGGCACACACAGACACACACACAGACACACACAGACACACACACAGACACACACACAGACACACACACACAGACACACACACAGACACACACACAGGCACACACACAGACACACACACAGACACACACACACAGGCACACACACACAGCCACACACAGACACACACACAGACACACACACAGACACACACTCATGCATACAGAATCTTTCCAGTGACCAATACCTGTCTCACCTGAACGCCCATCCCACTGCCCACTCCCCCCACCTCCCCACATCCCATGCGCTTTTAACCCCCACCCCTCACCCAGGCTCAAGAGATACGCAGGCGAGGAGACAGCACAGACCATTGCAACAGGTGTGTACAAGTATTCTCCTCTACTTAGCCAATAGACCTGTGCAATGTATACACTTATATCAAATTTGTATAGCTGAAACACCTACATCTCACCTGCCTTGCTAACACACCTACATCTCACCTGTCTAGCTAACACACCTACATCTCACCTGTGTAGCTAACATACCTACATCTCACCTGTCTAGCTAACACACCTACATCTCACCTGTCTAGCTAACACACCTACATCTCACCTGTCTAGCTAACACACCTACATCTCACCTGTGTAGCTAACACGCCTACATCTCACCTGTCTAGCTAACACACCTACATCTCACCTGTCTAGCTAACACACCTACATCTCACCTGCCTAGCTAACACACCTACATCTCACCTGTGTAGCTTACACACCTACATCTCACCTGTCTAGCTAACACACCTACATCTCACCTGTCTAGCTAACACACCTACATCTCACCTGTCTAGCTAACACACCTACATCTCACCTGTCTAGCTAACACACCTACATCTCACCTGTGTAGCTAACACACCTACATCTCACCTGCCTAGCTAACACACCTACATCTCACCTGTCTAGCTAACACACCTACATCTCACCTGCCTAGCTAACACACCTACATCTCACCTGTGTAGCTAACACACCTACATCTCACCTGTCTAGCTAACACACCTACATCTCACCTGCCTAGCTAACACACCTACATCTCACCTGTGTAGCTAACACACCTACATCTCACCTGTCTAGCTAACACACCTACATCTCACCTGTGTAGCTAACACACCTACATCTCACCTGTCTAGCTAACACACCTACATCTCACCTGCCTAGCTAACACACCTACATCTCACCTGTGTAGCTAACACACCTACATCTCACCTGTCTAGCTAACACACCTACATCTCACCTGTCTAGCTAACACACCTACATCTCACCTGTCTAGCTAACACACCTACATCTCACCTGCGTAGCTAACACACCTACATCTCACCTGTCTAGTTAACACACCTACATCTCACCTGTCTAGCTAACACACCTACATCTCACCTGTCTAACTAACACACCTACATCTCACCTGTGTAGCTAACACACCTACATCTCACCTGTCTAGCTAACACACCTACATCTCACCTGTTTAGCTAACACACCTACATCTCACCTGTCTAGCTAACACACCTACATCTCACATGTCTAGCTAACACACCTACATCTCACCTGTCTAGCTAACACACCTACATCTCACCTGTCTAGCTAACACACCTACATCTCACCTGCCTAGCTAACACACCTACATCTCACCTGTCTAGCTAACACACCTACATCTCACCTGTCTAGCTAACACACCTACATCTCACCTGCCTTGCTAACACACCTACATCTCACCTGTCTAGCTAACACACCTACATCTCACCTGTGCAGCTAACACACCTACATCTCACCTGTCTAGCTAACTCACCTACATCTCACCTGTGTAGCTAACACACCTACATCTCACCTGTCTAGCTAACTCACCTACATCGCACCTGTCTAGCTAACACACCTACATCTCACCTGTCTAGCTAACACATCTACATCTCACCTGTCTAGCTAACACACCTACATCTCACCTGTGTAGCTAACACACCTACATCTCACCTGTCTAGCTAACACACCTACATCTCACCTGTCTAGCTAACTCACCTACATCTCACCTGTCTAGCTAACACATCTACATCTCACCTGTGTAGCTAACACACCTACATCTCACCTGTGTAGCTAACACGCCTACATCTCACCTGTGTAGCTAACACGCCTACATCTCACCTGTCTAGCTAACACACCTACATCTCACCTGTCTAGCTAACACGTCTACATCTCACCTGTCTAGCTAACACACCTACATCTCACCTGTCTAGCTAACACACCTGCATCTCACCTGTGTAGCTAACATACCTACATCTCACCTGTCTAGCTAACACTCTCACGAACAACACAACTAACCAATTTCAGCATCATAACTCACCAATCTCACCCACCCACCGGTCACTCTCACGTACAACACAACGAACCAATTTCAGCCCCATAACTCGCCAATCTCACGCAGCCACCGGTCAATCTCAAGCGCCGGGCTCGCCATGGGTGCCACGTGCTGCTCCCTCTGCCGCCGCTGCTGCTGCTGCTGCACGGGGAGAGGCGAGGAGGGGAGGAGGTCGGAGGGAGACGGCGCCACGACCGAGAAGGAGAAAAGCAGCGAGAAGCAGCAGCAGCAGCATGTCTACTACAACGAAACCTTTGACAACATCTACGAAGACTTCCCGGTGCCACGGTCACCCACGCCGACGCCGCCGCCGCCGCCGCCGCCGCCCATGCCCGAGCGCCGTCGTCACGTGGCGCTGCGAGACTTCGAGTCGCCCGAGTCGAACGTGCTGAGCGTGGCCGAGGGCGCCCTGGTCGAGGTTCTGGACTGCGACGTCGCTGCCGGGTGGTGGTGGTGCAGGACAGGTGGTGGCGCCGGCGGGGAGACGGAGCGAGATGGATTCCTGCCAACGTCGCTTGTGGCTCCCATCGACAGCGTCGAGGCGCAGGAGTGAGTTGCTGTGGCATCGAATCATCATCAGCATGAGTATCATCATCATCAGCATGAGCATCGCCATCATCAGAATGAGTGTCACCATCATCAGAATGAGTATCATCATCATCGGAATGAGTATCACCATCATCAGCATGAGTATCACCATCATCAGCATGAGTATCACCATCATCATCAGCATGAGTGTCACCATCATCAGCATGAGCATCACCATCATCAGCATGAGCATCACCATCATCAGCATGAGCACCACTATCATCAGCATGAGCATCACCATCATCAGCATGAGATCCACCATCATCAAAATAAGCACCGCCATCATCAGAATGAGCGTCACTATCATCAGCATGAGCATCATCATCATCAGCATGAGTATCACCATCATCAGCATGAGTATCACCATCATCAGCATGAGTATCACCATCATCGGAATGAGTATCACCATCATCAGCATGAGCACTACCATCATCAGAATGAGCATCACCATCATCAGCATGAGTATCATCATCATCAGAATAAGCACCGCCATCATCAGAATGAGCGTCACTATCATCAGCATGAGCATCATCATCATCAGCATGAGTATCACCATCATCAGCATGAGTATCACCATCATCAGCATGAGTATCACCATCATCATCAGCATGAGCATCATCATCATCATCAGCATGAGCACCACCATCATCAGCATGAGTATCACCATCATCAGCATGAGTATCACCATCATCAGCATGAGTATCACCATCATCAGCATGAGTATCACCATCATCAGAATGAGTGTCACCATCATCAGCATGAGCATCACCATCATCAGAATGAGTATCACCATCATCAGAATTAGTGTTATTGTCATCAGCAGAGATAGGAAGTGTGGAATTGCGGGACTGAGTTGGTGTAAAACGTCGTCGTCGTCATCATCATCCTGAGTACCATCATCATCATCAGCAGCAGCAACAGCAGCAGCAGCAGAATAATTATCATCATCATCATCAGAGATAGGAAGCGTGGAGGCGCGGGAGTGAGTTGGTGTGGCATGTCATCATCATCGTCAGCATGAGTATCACCATCATCATCAGCATGAGTATCACCATCATCAGCAGCATGAGTATCATCACCAGCAGTACGATCATCATCAGCTGCAGAATCATCTTCATCATAGCGTGGAGGTGCAGGAGTGAGTTGGTGTGGTATGTCATCATCATCAGCAGAATAATCAGCAACAGAAGTATCATCATCATGATCATCGCCAGAATCGTCACAGATAGGACGGGGCAGGAGTTGGTGGCACATCATCATCAGCAGAATCATCATCACCACAGATAGGAGGCGTGGAGGCGTACGAGTGAACTGTCAGAGCTTTGTGGCGGTGGCAATGTCATCATCATCATCAGCATCATCATCAGCAGCAGCGGCATCACGTCATCATCAGCAGCAACATTCTCAGCAGTAGCGTCATCGTCACGAGCAGCAGACTCATCATCGTAGATCGGAAGCGTGGAGGTACAGGTTGTGACTCGGAGGTTGCTTCGTGGTGATGTCACATCATCATCAGCAGCAGCAGTAGATTTTTCATCATCAGCAGAATCATCGTCATTGTTTTCTGGTCCAGGGCCTCCCTCCCCCAGGTCGACTCCGCCCTAAAATGAGTCCCGTACCTGGTGCGGTGTCCATGAAACATCAGCACTGACGAAGACAAAGGCGGCCGGACGTGGTGCTGGCCACCCACCCCCTCGTCATTCAATGTCGGCCTTCATAGGTGCTGAAACTCGCTAACAGCACTTGCCCCAACAGTCTATAACAAGCGACACGGGGGGGGGGGGGTCTTTGTCTCTGTGCGTCAGAGGTCGCAACCGGGTACCCGATACCCGTAACCGGGTACGGGTATCCGTTTGCGACCCTGATGCGACCGGGTACAGGTACGGGTAGGCCGTGAGTCACTGGTGAGTCACAGTTTGTCACTCATTTCCCAACGTCTTGTCTCTTCTCACAATTCAAGTTCCTAGAATAAACCCACCCGCGCCTGCAACATGGCTTCATCCCAGAGGTCGCAATCGGGTACCCGATACCCGTACCCTACCCGTACCCAGCCGGGTACGGGTAGGGTACGGGTACGGCCGGGTACGGGTACCCGTTTGCGACCCTGGTGCGGCCGGGTACGGGTACGGGTACGGGTCAGGAATCAAAACCCGTTTGCGACCTCTGCTGTGCGGGTACGGGTATGGGTCAGGAATCAAAACCCGTTTGCGACCTCTGCTGTGCGGGTACGGGTATGGGTCAGGAATCAAAACCCGTTTGCGACCTCTGCTGTGCGTGCAGTTGGTACTTTGGGACGCTGTCTCGGTTCGAGAGCAGCTCGCGGCTGCTGCGAAACCCCGTGGGAACCTTCCTGGTTCGAGACGGGGGCATGGGTCAAGAGCACACGCACGTGTACACACTGTCTGGTGAGTGTGCCTGTGTGTGTGTGTACACTCCGTCTGTGGGGAGAGTTTGTTGCGTACCTACTCAATGGATGGCCCCTCTCTGTGTGTTCCAGACAAAATATAATAATTATTGTAATTTCCACAGCACTACTGCTGTTCCTAATGATGATGATGACGATCAATTTAATAACTCGCGACGACGACGACGACGACACCGACCGCTCGAACCAACAACCCCGATGAAAGCCCCCCCCCCCCCCGTAGCGCTGACAACCAGCGAGCCCACGTGGCTTTTATTGTGACGTCGACGATGACGGCCGCAGCCATTGTTGTGATGACGATGACGACACCGACAGCTGGCACGACCCTCTCCCACGTGGCACCCCTCCACCCACCCACCGACAGAGGTCGCAACCGGGTACCCGATACCCGTACCCTACCCGATACCCGGCTACCCGTACCCGGCCAAGTATGGGTACGGGTACCCGTTTGCGACTCTGGTGCGGCCGGGTACGGGTAGGCCGTGAGTCACCGGTGAGTAACCGTTTGTCACTCATTTCGGGTAGGGAACGGGTACGGGTAGGGAACGGGTACGGGTAGGGAACGGGTAGCGTTCGGGTACCCGTTTGCAACCCTGGTGCGGCCGGGTACGGGTAAGGAATCAAAACCCGTTTGCAACCTCTGCTCACCGACCTCCCCCATTGCGTGACCCACGCAGTGCTGGTGGCGCCCGGCGAGGTGAAGAACTACCGCGTGCACCGGTCGGCCGAGGGCTTCTACATCAGGCGCGGCAAGGCGTACCCCAGCGTGCAGGAGCTGCTGCTGCACTACCACGCGCGCGACGGCAAGCAGCTGCCCGTGCTCACGCAGCCCTGCGCCAAGGTGACGGCGGCTGGCAAGCAAAGCAGAGGGGGGGGGAGAGAAGTTAGGAGCCGAGGTAGCAGCAGCAGCAGGAGTAAGAGAGCAATCCTAGTAGAAGCAGTAGCAGCAGCAGGAGTAAGAGAGCAGTCCTAGTCGAAGCAGCAGTAGCAGCAGCAGGAACAGCAGCAGCAGGAGTAAGAGAGCAATCCTAGTAGAAGCAGTAGTAGTAGCAGCAGCAGGAGGAGTAGCAGGAGCAGCAGTAGTAGTAGAAGCAGTAGAAGCAGAATTTAGTAGTAGCAGCAGCATTAGCATCATGAGTAGCAGCAACAACAGTCGAAGTAGTAGCAGCATCGGAAGTAGTAGTCGTAATAGTTGTCGCAGCAGTCGCAGGAAAGTAGCAGCAGCAGTAGTAGCAGCAGCAGAAGTCGTAGTCGTAGTAGCTGTCGCAGCAGTAGCAGGAAGAGTAGCAGCAGTAGCAGCAGCAGGAGCAGCAGCAGGAGTAAGAGAGCAGCCCTAGTAGAAGCAGTAGCAGCAGCAGTAGTAGCAGCAGCAGTAGTAGCAGCAGCAGCAGAAGTAGTAGTCGTCGTAGTTGTCACAGCAGTAGCAGGAAAAGTAGCAGCAGTAGCAGCAGCAGCCATCTCCCACACATCCCCCACACGGTGTTTGTGTGTGGCCTTAAAATAAAACAGAATAGGCAACGTTTCGGGCAACGCACCACTGCGAACGCAGCAGCAGCAGCATCACCAACAACACAATTAGCTCAATCTCCATATATATAAAATACAAAGTTGTGAATATGTGTGTCTGTTCAAAATGTTTAGCGTACTTCTCGAGATGCTAAAAATTTGAAATTTGCCATGTGGGTACTTTCCAGACTGCACACCATGCAAACATTATAAAAATACACTTTATTTTGGGGGGGGGGGGGCTCAATAATGCATTTTTTTTTGCACGGCAAGTGAGCTGTGACGTCACATCTGTCACGTGACCCGCGCACGTGGCAGCATCACGCATTGTAGTGTAGCGGGTAGCGCGCTGCGCTACGAACCCGGCGACCCGAGTTCGATTCCCGCTCACGGCCACACCACCGGTGACGATTATTTGAACCGCTCCTGGGCCTCCCCTAGGTCGACTCAGCCTCAAACGAGTAACTGCTGTGGTGTGTGAACATCGCCACTGGGGGGGACAAAGGCGGCCTGGCGTCGTGAATCCCAAGTCCCGGGCGAAGCCGGGTAGTAAAGCTAGTCGGAAATAAGCCTTCTCGGCCAAGGTGATGAGGTGATGAGGTGACGGGTCATGCGCACCCATGCCCTTGGCGTCACCGTGCCACGGCATGACGATGGCGATTACAGTGACGATGACACTGCAGTGATGATGGTGATGTTGAGGACGATTTTCATAGCTGTCAACCCACACGGCTTATACCCCGTATTCTTGTGCAGGGAAATTGATTCTAGATTTGAAGCTTTCGTGACTGCAAGGATTCATATTGTTAGGTTTTTTCGGTAAAGTCACGTAGGTAAAAAATTAAAATTAATATTTCAGCTACCGTGCTGTGACCGTTCCACCTGAAGACGGAAGCTAGTGTTGCCTCCGAAACGTCGTGATTTTTATTTTATTTTTATTTTACTTTTATTAATTTTGACTTTACCGAAAAAACGTACAGCCGTTTCAATACGGGCAAAAAAAAAATCTGTGTTGTGTCTGTTTGTTTGTGTTTCTCTCCTGTGATGGGACTTTGTAGGATGAACGTTGAGATGTATAAGGGGCACGGGGTGACCAATAGGGTCTGAATTGGTCTGTAATAAGGTGGGGCACTGATAAGGGGTTGACAAATATCGATTTTGAGGATGCTGGTGAGAATGTTGATAACGATGTTGTTGACGATGTTGACGACCATGTTGAGGACGATATTGATGATGATGATGATGTTGTTGTTGACAAAGTTGATGACAATGTTGATAGCGACGTTAAGGGCGCTGTTGAGGATGATATCGATGACAATATTGAGGATGTTGTTGACGACGCTGATGACAATGTTGATAGTGATGATGTTGATGACAATGTTGCTAGTGATGATGTTGATGACAATGTTGATAGTGATGATGTTGATGACAATGTTGATAGTGATGATGTTGATGACCACGTTGACGACGATGACGATGTTGTCCTCAGGAGGTGCAGTCTGACGTGATGTCTCCGCACCCCAAGTGGGCCGAGTGCTGGAAGGTGAACCCGTCACACCTGCATCGCGTGCGGACACTCGGCAAGGGCCAGAGCGGCGAGGTGTGGAAGGGCGTCTACCAGGAGCGCTACCACGTGGCCGTCAAGACCCTCCACCCCGGTGCGCGCGTAGGTCCGCTCGGCCTGCAATAGCCGGCCGTCAACGCCGACGGTTCGGGCATCGCCCCTGAAGTGGCCAAGCTGGGCACTAGGGGAGGTTCGTGAGAATGGCCGTGTCAGAGACACCGCGCCAGCACTGCTGTTAGCCTGGGTGCAACTCTCAAAGAGGTCCATGATAACAGCACTTGTCCCAAGAGTCTGTTAAGGCTATACGGGGGGTCTTTGTGCGTGTTAGGTGTGTGTGTGTGCGTGCGTTCGGTATGCATGTGTGTGTTATGTGTGTATGTGTGTTGGCCACCCACCCCCTCGTGTGCCGTTTCAGCCTTCATAGGTGCTTATTCTTAGGTTTTTTCGGTAAAGTCACGTAGGTAAAAAAAGAAAATTAATAAAAGTCAAATAAAATAAAATTTTATTTTATTAATTTTAATTTTTTACCTACGTGACTTTACCGAAAAAAACCTAAGAATATGAATCCTTGCAGTCACGAAAGCTTCAAATCTAGAATTAATAGGTGCTCGCTAATGGCACTTGCCCGCAGTGCGTTAAAGCTATATGTATTCTTTGGTTCTTTCGGTAAAGTGACGTATAAAGATAAAATAATAAATTAAATAATAGCATACGACGTTTCGATTGCAACACAAGCAATCATCATCAGGTATAATGAAATAGCGACATAAAATCTAACCAGAAAACTATAATTGTACAGTAAACATATAGCAGTATGATACACATTAGGGTGGGTAGAATAATACATAGTGTTATATTAAAATGGATAAGGCAGCAACTGCAGCAGCAGCAGCAAGTGCAGCAGCAGCAGCAAGTGCAGCAGCAGCAGCAAGTGCAGCAGCAGCAGCAACTGCAGTAGCAGCAGCAACTGCAGCAGCAGCAGAAACTGCAGCAGCAGCAGCAACTGCTGCAGCAGCAGTAACTGCAGCTCCCTTTGATGCTGTTAATCCTGCATAATGCACATGCATATGCAGTACTAATTACATTCCTGCATTTCCCATAAATATGCTAAATTCCTGTTGATATGCAAATTCCTTTGTCAATGCGCCCAGCTTATATATATGCTCTAAGCCCGTGTGCTGTTTCATTCAGACTCTGTCGCCTCGACGGACCTGGTTTTCACCTGAGGACGGCTGCTTGCGTTGTGGCCGAAACGTCGTGAGAATTGTTTTATTATGTTTTATTTTTATTATTTTATTACTTCCCTTCTACGTGACTTTACCGAAAGAACCAAGAAGATGAATCCCTGCAGTCACGAAAGCTTTAAATCGAAATTTAACCAAAGAATAATTCCTGCAGTCACGAAAGCTCCAAAATTAAGAAAGCTATATGTCTTTGCGCGACAGGCCTGCCGGTGGAGGAGCTGCACAGGGAGGCGCAGATCATGAAGACGCTGTCGCACGAGAACCTGCTGCGCCTGTACGCAGTGTGCGTGCACGAGGGCCGCGTCTCGCTCATCACGGAGCTCATGCGCGGAGACCTGCAGGCCTTTTTGCGCAGTACGTCCCGCTCCCCGCCACACTCTTCTTCCTCCGTCTCCTTCTTGCTAGGCTCGCCGTACGCGAGACTAGTAAGATGCAGAGGAACGACCGCGATTTCACATTTGGGTGGTCACAGAGCAGCAGACGGGCCGCGTTAGGAGCAAGCGGTCCGGGGGCATTGCTTCGTTTTACGTTTTGCGGTCCAGTTTTGCATGACCGCATTGGCACACTCCTGGAGAGTTTCTCATGTTCCATTTGTGCATCATCAGGTATCCGTACCTGGCACGGTTTGTGCACCGGATGGGACTTAGGGTGGACCATCAGCTTCGGGGAAGGTCACACACAGAATTTCCCTGGGTTTGATCTTCCACAGAGCTCATGGTCCGTACAGGCTTGCCAGTGGCGGCATCACAAGGCAAATATCCCCCGCGTAGCCTACACTGACTGCTAGGGGCATGTGCCGTTAGCGTGCTAACGGCTATGGCCAGCACCACGCTCGGCTGCTGCCTTTGTCTCCCCAAGTGCTGGTGCTTACACGTTGTGCAAGGTACTCATTTAGGGCCGAGTCGATTTAGGGGAGGCCCAGTTGCCAGTTCAAATGATAACTACTGATGTGAGCCGTGGTCAGGAGTCGAATTTGGGTCGTCCAGGGCGCTAACCACTATGCTACAACGAACCATAGTCTTAAATAATTATAAAAATACAAATATCCATCATGTAGCCTTTAACAGGATATTGGGGAAAGTGATGTTAGTGATGAAGCCCGGAATGGCACGCAATGGGGTGGTGTGGCCAATACACCACGCTTGGTCGCATTCGTGCTAGTGTACTAGGTACTCGGTTAAGGCTGAGCCGACCTAGGGGAGGTCCACGACCAGTTGAATTATTCTCCACTGTTTTTGGTCGTAAGCGGGGAATCGAACTCGGGCGGTCAGGTTCGCAGTGCACTGCGATAGCCACTGCGCCACCGCTCTGCATGCAGTGGCACACGCACCTACAATTACCGTGAGCTGCACGTCTGAGACGCGATTGGTTGGATTGGCTCGGCGAGCTCATAAATAACGTTACACATATGTACACATTGGGTGCTGTGTGGAAATCTATGAAGAGCCTCACTTCATAGGCTTGCTCAATCTGGACGGTACTCAATTTATAATGAGGTAAGCGAGTAGACGACCACACCAGCGCTTGGTGTGCATGATGCAAATACAAAAAGGAATGGAAACCAGGTCATTGGGATTACGGCTCTACCCACGTGACTGCAACCAGTTGTATCTGGGCCAAAACCATTTCCTGGTGCCTGAACCCCCTTTTTGTGTTGAGTTTGTAGTCCATCCTGCCACCGCAACCTCCGATACGCGCGGTTGGCTAAGTACGGTGCAAAAGAAGTTCAACGTACATCCGGCTTGCAGTGACATTGCCGCGCTTGCATTAGCGTGACGTGGTCACCTTGCAAGAGACCCGCTCGAGAAAGTGGAATTGGCAAGCTTATAAGTGTTAGCGCGGAAGACAGACGCTTTTATTAGTCGTCGTTGTGGAGGGAGCGCAGGTTAGTAGTTCGAGCCCAACGGACGACCCGGTTAATACCGCGGTGTGCATTCACAGCGGGGGTCAAGGTTGTCGTGACGTCAGGGTTCCGCAAACAATGTATATTATCCAGATAAAAAAATTACTCTCCAAAGATATGTAAATTGGAAAAATTATGCATAGAAAGCATTGCCCCCCCCCCTATTTGCGAAACTACTGCCGACTGCGTGATTCATGATTGACTGATTGATTACAGGGTCAGACCGCGTGCGTAACTACCGGCGAAAGGTCCGTGCCTCATTGGTTAGAATGTTGTTGTGGATCGCTGTCCGGCAGCAACACGGGAGATGCCGCTGAAGTGGTACATTCCTTGGCACGTTTCTCTCGTAGCACGTCACAACTTTATTAATCGGCTGCATCATCTGCAGGAGGGTTGTACGAAACGCATTTTACACACCGGTCGATCTGACTCCCCCTGAAAGATGAATTACTGATAATTGGTTTTTTACCCTTCTATCTGGTAACAAAACTGACACCTTTTTTACAAGGAGTCATGTTTGCATAGACCACAATACCTGCAGTTATAATGCAAACAAAAAACATAACTCTGATCATGAATGCACTGGTCTATGCAAACATGACTCCTTGTAAAAAAAAAGTGTCAGTTTTGTTGCCAGATAGAATGGTAAAAAAACAATTATCATATTTTTTACTGGCAAATGAGGTTCCAATGGAGATTAATTACTGTTAATGATATTAATTGGTTCCACGAAAACCATCGTTAATTGAAATGATCGTTAATCGAATGTAGGAAATACATGTTAAAGGCTGATTTTGTTCCAAGACGATCAGAAGTTGACCTTTTTCACCAGAAAAAGTTGCTCTCAAAACGCTCATATTAAGAGCGGGTCGCTGATTGGCTGAGGTCTGCAGAGTCCACTGAGGAGCGCTCCGATTGGCCAAAACTCGCGGCCGCGTCATAGCGTAAACACATCGTTGATCGAAAATGTATCGTAAATCGAAACAATAGGACCCTATTGGAGGACGATGTTTCATCATAATATCATTAATCGATGGCATCGTAAACCGAAGGACCACTGTAGTACGATTGTTCATGGAAGCTAACGTGTTAAATTTTACTGCGGACTATACCCGTCTGTGAAACGTAGCGCATTCATGGGAGCGCTGGACTATGGCACGAACGCCGAGTGTAACGGGCGGATTTATGAGACGTGTTTTTACATTGAGACTCGCTTAGTGGACACGCTCTCGCCCAGCTTGTAAATTCTAACAGCACGAACTACTTTGGGCAATCATTGACAGGAGCGTGAAGTGAAGGTCGAGCCCTGCGTGGGTGGCGAGTCGGGGGATTTCCCATTGTAATTTGCATTGGGAGGACGAAGTCCATGGGAGCGGCTGGGACTGAATCAGCCAGTTTGGAAAAGGTTCAGTTCCTTGATGATCTCAACTCGGCCAACAATGACTGCACGCACACATAAACACAAAACCCACACCTGTACCAAATTTCGGCTGAATTCCAGCTCTGAAAATTGAGAATGTTTAACTACCAATGCGATGAACATTTCCGTCTGGAGCTGAGAAGGTTGTGGCAAGTGTTGCCTCTTCGTGTGGATAAGCGGTTATTTCAAGGCACATCATGAAAATATATATATCATAAGCCTTGGGGAGAAACAATGAAGAAGATGGAGAGAAGCCAAGCCGGAGAAGTGAAAGCAAGAGAGAAGCGGGTGTATTTAGGCCAGTGGTTTAGACATCACCATGGTGTCCGAATCACGAACAGCGCCAGTTGGCTGTCCGTTCCACAGCCACAACAGAAGGCCCGGGACAACCGTTGCACGGAGAGCCGCATCCAAAGAAACACGCGGGACACCGGCCATTGCAGAACGAAACCTGCCGGATGGTGACCCATACGGGGATCATATGTGGGGTCAACGACACCTTGAGTACCTTGCAGAAGGGCACTTGATAAAATGTGATTTATTTTTACTTGAAGGGGAATCTCAAAAGCAGTTCTGTGATATCCGCTTCCACAGCACCGGGAGGGGGGCGATGCTCTGAACGGATTCCTTGTCCCGTGACGCGACGTGGATATTTTTCCACTTGTTTACCCAGAAAAGTCTTACGGAGTGTCCAATGAAGTAGCTTGCGAGTGATTCTCTCTCATTTGGCAAATTTGGATATCACCAACATGTACCGACAAAACCGTGGGAACACAGATGTACAGAAGATCATTGGAACTTACTGCACCGCCCTCAACATAGCTCCACCACAGCGTAGAACAACCTGGATATCGCAGTTGCGCTACGAGTAAACAAGACCAAAACATTTGTAATATCTTCATTACAATCCTAACTATAACAGAATCATGACTCCTAACGTTCAACCTCTAAACGTAAAGTAGTTTAATTGATTGACCCATCGCCTGTGACCTTTGTTCCCCGCCATTGCCCTTGTCCCTGGCAGGTGAGGAAGGCCGTGGGCTGCACCTGTGCGAGCTGCTGCACCTGGGCGCACAGGTGTCGAGCGGGATGGAGTACCTGGCGGAGCGGGGGTTCGTGCACCGTGACCTCGCCGCGAGGAACGTGCTCGTCGACGCTTCGCTGCGCTGCTGCATCGGCGACTTCTCGCTCGCTCTCGCACACGTGCGTTACCACCATTATGCACTCGCGTTACCGCCATTTTGCATGCATGTTTCCGCCATTTTAGCAATGTTACCACAATTTTACACACGCGTTGCTGCCATTTTGCATGCATGTTTCCGCCATTTTAGAAATGTTACCACCATTTTACACTCGCGTTGCCGCCATTTTACATGCATGTTCCTGCCATTTTAGAAATGTTACCACCATTTTACACTCGCGTTGCCGCCATTTTACATGCATGTTTCCGCCATTTTAGAAATGTTACCACCATTTTACACTCGCGTTGCCGCCATTTTACATGCATGTTTCCGCCATTTTAGAAATGTTACCACCATTTTACACACGCACTGCTGCCATTTTACAAATGTGGGAGTGGGGGGGGGGGCTGTAAGGGGGCTGGGTGAAGAGGTGGAACTAAAGCTCAGGTGTAACGCCGCGTACCGATCCGTATAGCCCGTGTGCATGAGGTCATCTTGTCGCTCCATCTCCACAATGGGTGTTCTCTCGGGGCACATTTCCCCGCTCCAGCTGCAGCTCCATCATCATTCTCAACCACCAGCCATCGTCCATCCTCGAAATTCTACTCCCTGAGCAGGACCAATCACGACAATGTCTCCACACTCGATATGACGCCCCTCACCTGTGTACGTTCTGCGATCTGTGCCTCGCCGCTCCTGCCTCTCGGTACATTTACAAGTGCAGACATTTTTCCGTACTTCTTTGCAAGACTTTTCAGCTTTAGTTCCGTTTTCTTTGGCAACGGGCAATGTGTCCGACCCATAGGTCACAGCGGAACGATACGCATCTTGGGACTCACGAAGCCACACGCTAGCTTTGTGTGTTTGTGATTGGTTAGGAAGATTAACCAACACAACAGCTGAGTCACAATACAGTTCCTGTGAGATCATATCAACTTTACTGGGGGGTTTTGAGGCGAATTTTTTTGTTGACGGTAACGTTGGAAAATTTATGTACATTTCCGTATGTACGTGGTGTGGTATTTTTACATTGTTAGGAATGTGTGTACCCAGCAAAAAGTTACCTTATAGATAACAAAGAATCCGATGGGATTAGTGTAGGCTGAGTTCACCTAGGGAAGGGGTCGGAAACCAAAATAACATTTGGCAAAAAAAAACACCCTCAATATTTCATGAGCCGCAATGCATGTGAACATCGCGACACAAATTTGTCGAGATCACAACTACCTCGCCTAAAATCAATGACGAATTTGAAATATAACGGCTGCGAAAAAACCCACGTGCGGTATTGCGTTAATGACGTGATCGATTACATCATCGTCTTCATCGATGGTGCTGCCCCCTCCCCCACCCCCGCCAGACCCAGAGCTCGCCGATGGTGAAGATCCCCACGCGCTGGACGGCCCCAGAGGGCCTCACCGGCCAATGCTTCACCACCAAGTCTGACGTGTGGTCTTTCGGCGTGCTACTTTACGAGATCTTCACCTTCGGACGGCGTCCCTACTCACGTAAGCACCGACAGAGCCTCTAGACCAGGGGTCGGCAACCAAAATAACAAGAAGAGCCATTTCTTTCCAATTCGGTACAAAATTCAGTATTTCAAGAGCTGCAATGCATCTGAGTACATACTGTACATACGTACATATCGTCAAGAAGCAGCCCGTAAAGAGCCGCATGCGGCTCCGGAGCCGTAGGTTGCCGACCCCTGCGCTAGACAGTGACAGGCTGACTGGTCTCTGATAGGATCTAAAAACGGTGACAGACAGACCGGTCTCTGACGGTGTCTCTAAACAGTGACAGACAGACAGATCGGTTTCTGATGGGGTCTCTAGCCAATGACAGAATGACAGACAGACGGGTCTCTGTATGGGGTCTCTAGACGGTGACAGACTAACAGGACCACCTGCTTCATCCTCCTCCTCTTGCGCCTCTCCGTGCAGACATTCGTAACAACCGGGACGTGCAGGTGGCCGTGCTGTCCGGGTACCGCCTCCCGCAGCCGGCGCGGTGCCCCCCGCCCGTCTACGCCACCATGGTGGAGTGCTGGAGCGAGTGCGAGGAGGCGAGGCCGTGCTTCTCGGTGCTGCGGGAGCGCCTGCAAGCACTCCTGCGGCTGGAGCAGGACAACGAGGAGTGACCTCCTGCGCCCCCCCCCCCCCCCCCACCGCGAACCTCTGTGAAGCGGACGGAGAATATTGCGACTGACGTGAGAGAACTAGCGGAGAGGAAGACCGTAGGGGCACGTGACCTCCCGCTCCAGTTTTCGCTCCTCTCTTCGTAGCCCACCATCCGGGCCCCTCTATCCAGCCCACGCACAGTAGGCGGCCGGTGTAGTTGCACCGTCTGCACGCTTGACAGCCGCGCCACCGATGATAGTGGAGCCACAGGCTCCCGTAGACAGCGGCGGTGCTGCGTGGCTGGCAAAGGCATGCTGCAAGGAATGACAAATTCCCCCCACCCCCCCAGGGTGGTGCACTGCTCGCTGTGAGCATTCACAATGGGAATTTCTTCATCCTGACTCAGGTTTAGTGGGAGTCTTTAGTTTTTGTCCAGTCGCCAAAGACTGCACAACAAAAACATGACATATTTGAGATTTTCCCCTTTTTTTCTGGCAACAAAACAGCTGTGTTAAGTTGTTAAAACACCAAACTGAAACCTTTTACAAGGAATCATGTCTGCAATAACCACAATACTTGTGGTCAGAATGCAAACAAAAAACGTACTCGGATAATATATTATAGATATGTTCAGAGTATGATGACATATTTGGTTAAACTCTCTTAAATTTGTATCATTCCAGCTCTGAGAATTAACAAACGTGTATATATATTTGTTTTCATTGCCATGCAATGTATATATATTTGTTTAAATTGGTTTGATGTGACCAAATCACCCAGAAGATGCCTGGTCTCAGCAGATCTTACGCTAAGCAGGTTTGAGCCTGGGTTAGTGCTTGGATGGGTGACAACCACGCATAAAAGGGTGTTATAGGCTGCTTTGAGGCTGCTTTGAGGCTGCATTGTGAGATGCAGAGGACAGGAGTGCAGAAAAATACATTGTACTGTACTATGCTCCCGTGGTCTATGGTCCCAGCTCTTCAACCAACTAAACCAGAATGGTAAAGTATGGTCAAATAACCTCTGTGACCTCTGTGACCTCTGTGACCTGCGTGCCGTTGGGAGACCCTCACACAGCAGTGGATTGACACATTTTTTCTACACGAGGAGTTGTTGTATCATGTATAACCTCAGGTTGTCTTTTATGTTTTTTTTTCTATTTATACTCCTACGTTGTGTATATAAGTTCTGGTAAAATATGTACCGTATACGAGACCCGTTCGTAAGTGGAACGGTTCGTAAGTGGAGTCGGAGCACAATAATGTACTGTATATAAATGCACAATACGGTCAGTGTTATAAAATGTGCCGAGCTTAAACCAAAAACTCGCGATTAAGAAGAAATGTGCATTTGCATTTGACGCCGTAAATAGTTTCTGCGGTTCGGTTCGCAAGTGCGAGTTGGCACTCGCAAGTCGGATGGTTAATAAGTATAACCCGTAAAAACTAAGTTTTTCACTATAAATCCTTTATATGCGTGGCGGCTAGAGTCCTCTCGTCCTCTGGCTTGAGATGGCTGCCACCTATGGGTCAGATGATTGTCTGCCAGTATTAAGCAATTGGTAATTAAATATTTAATTTGTTTTCCCTAAACAGTGTAAAATTTTGGAGAAAAAAAATTTCACGAACATTAATTGTCTCGCACAACGAGTCTCTGTGCAAAATGTCAGCTCGATTGGATCACGGGAAGTGGGTTAAAAAACGACCGAAAGATTTGCACGGTCGTAAGCAAGCACAAAAGCACGCAAGCAAGCAAGCGAACTTAATATAAAGGATTTAAAAATATATATCTCACGGAAGCTCGTTCGTAAGTGCGGATTGTTCGTAAGTCAGGCGTTCATAAGTCGGGAGGGACTGCCTGTACATCAACTAACAAGCTTTCACATATTCTTAGGTTTTTTCGGTAAAGTCACGTATATATACAAGGACTGTTTTCTTGGAATTTCTCTCACTTGATACAGCTATCGTGCTGTGACGGTTCCACCTGAAGACGGAAGCTTGTGTTGCCTCCGAAACGTCGTGATTTTTATTTTATTTTTATTTAACTTTTACTTTTAATATAAAAAATTTTTACCTACGTGACTTTACCGAAAAAACCTACGAATATGAATCCTTGCAGTCACGAAAGCTTCAAATCTAGAAGCTTTCACATGACCGACCTCATGTACGCGTGCAGCACTGCGTGTGAGTGCAGTGGTTGGCGTCGTGGTTAGCACGCTTCGCAACGAAGCCGGCGACCTGAGTTCGAGTTTCCTAGCCACGGCTAACATCAGTGGCGAGTGATGTCTGAACCGGCCCTGGGACCTCCTCTGCCCACTTCAGCAAAACCAGCACTGATCAGCGTGGCCAAGGATGAACTTTTTTCGCACTATACGGAGCCAACCATGACCAACACATTGGTATGGGAAGGCCTTCATCCAGCAGTGGATTGACAGGGAACTGTAAGGTGTGTTACTATGTCCACTGTGATTTCTATCGTCATATAATTTCTGTTCAGTAAAAATAAAATATCAAGTAAAATATCAAGTAAATGTACTTTACACAAACAATGCTATACATTCGTAAATAAACTGATATTTTAAGTGTAATGAGGTTTCTTTTATTGCACGTAGCGTAGCTTAGGACCCCGTCGTCATGAGATAATGCCGACGTGGAGATCGTGTGACCGAGCAGACAGGGACGACGTGAAGACAGCGACGACGGTCCGAGTCCCTCTCGACAGCCCCGAACTTCCCTTCTTGCCCTGCTTTTATCCTCGTGGATTCTCCAGGGGTAATTTCCCCAGCCGTCTCTTTTGGATACTCTGGGGAATTCCCCAACCAAGACCCTCCAGACTTGCTGGCGCCTTCTCTTTGCATCCAGCCTCGCTGACGCCCTGTCTTCCCCTCGAGACTTACTGACAGTCTTTACACATGTACTGTATACACAAAGAAGTGATTGGACAATGTCATTTATTCACCATAATAAAGGTTTTTGGGTTGGATCGCGTCAATTATAAATGTGTCGTAACCCTCCACCACCCGACATGGCCAAACAGTAAAAAATGTGTCACGTTTACAAAGGACAAATAGTATACTACTTTAGCCCACCGGTGTGTTGAAGAGTGAATTAATTAAATGATGACGTCACCCTGCTGTTGCTCTATCAGAGGTCGCAAACGGGTTTTGATTGCTTACCCGTACCCGTACCCGGCCGCACCAGGGTCGCAAACAGATACCCGTACCCGGCCGTACCCGGGTATCGGGTACCTGATTGCGACCTCTGGGATGAAGTCATGTTGCAGGCGCGGGTGGGTTGATTCTAGGAACTTGAATTGTGAGAAGAGACAAGACGTTGGGAAATGAGTGACAAACGGTTACTCACAAGTGACTCACGATCTACCCGTACCCGGCCGCACCAGGGTCGCAAACGGGTACCCGTACCCGGCCGGGTACGGGTAGCCGGGTATCGGGTAGGGTACGAGTATCGGGTACCCGGTTGCGACCTCTGCGCTCTATTTAAGACCGGGAGCAAGAGCAGAGCCTCACCATTCTGGCAGATTACGCGATGAAGTTGGATGTAATTGCCTTCTCGTGCAACAGGGGAACTGCCACTTGGGCAGCTTTGTGAATGCGTCGTTCTCTGGACGTTTTTGACACCGCCGTTTTCGGATCCGATGGATGGAAGTCGCCGGCCATGGGTGGGGGGGGGGCAATGTCCCCCCCCCAAACTGGACATCTTCAAAATGGGACCTTTTCTTGCCAGTATCAATGTATGATAATTGTTTTTTTACCCTTCTATCTGGCAAACAAAACTGACACCTTTTTACAAGGAGTCATGTTTGCATAGACCGCAATACCTGCAGTCATAATACAAACAAAAGAACATAACTCTGATAATGTGCACTGTCCTTGAAGTTGATTGGTCCACACCCGAGACAGCGTTCCTTAGAGCCTAGTCTCACATGGGTTGGACTAGATGACGCCAAAAGGCGCACAACTCAAAGACAGTGCACCATCAGAGTATGAGAGCTCGGGGCAAGCATCTGAGGTTCCCATAGAGTATCAAAGTACTTTGATCCTTTGATACTGGCAAAAAAATTGGTCCTATTTTGTAGCTTCTCACCCCGAGCTCTCAATGCTCTGATCGTGGCATTGCCCTTGTGCTGTTCGCCTCTTGACGTTCTCTGGTCTGACACTGGCTGTCTCTGGTGTAGGCCAATCCGTTTCAAAGACAATGCCCATATATTATCACGAGCGTGTTTGTTTGCATGTTCACCACAAGAATTGTGTGTGGTGAATGCAGACTTTTTGCAAAAGGTTTCTATTTGGTGTTTGAACAGGGTGAAACAACCCCCTATTCTTATGTTTTCGTACTTGACACCTTTATTAATTTATTTTCAGTAGTTTACCATTAAGATTAAAAATGTATTAATTATATGCATCCGCGATTCCTAATGTGAAGGACAAAGCAAACCCCTGCCCCCACAAATATAGAAGTGAAAGTCTGCCTAATTACTACTCACTATCGCCGCACTCGGAGAGATTTACCAATGGATCCCTTAACTCGCGACCCCTATGCCGATAAGCGCACGGGCAATTCGACTTAGAGAGTATATAACCGTACTGCAATAAAACTCTAAGATTTGCTGTCTCTGTCAAAGGGGTATTTGTTGACGTGGGTCATATTCACAATGGCAATGCACTATGAACCCTGCGGCCCAAGTTCGGTTCCTGGCCACGGCTATCAGAAGTGGTGAGTGAACATCTAATCAGGTTAAGTGTGGTCAAATCACCCACATTAGGGGCTATCCAGCAGGTATCTTGAAGAGAAACGGTATTTGTTAAGTATTGTGGTATATTCTTGTAGATATCTGGTATGCAACAGATTGTTTTTGTGTAACGATTGCATCGCACGCTTTCGGATGCACTTCTGTGGCCGTCTGGAACGCTCTTCCTTCCGATATTAGGAAGCCGCTGGAGCTATGCACTTTTAAATCATCATCTAGATTGACAAACCCATTTCGTCAGAACTGCTTTTTGCGTTTAGTTTGTTGTCCTTCCCCCGCACCTCCGATAAGCACACGGTTGGCTACTCTACGGTGTGAAAGAATGTCAACATCCATACATAACCAGTCTCTCTCATCTTAAAGCATTACCTGGTGCGTAAGTCTGCTGCCAGTAAGCGGCGATGGTTACAACTGTGTGGTCAAGCCTAGGGGCACCTCCAGTGGCAGCTGTCCCTGTGCAGTAGTCTGCCAGTAGGATGTCGACGATGGCTGCTATGTATTATACCCATTCATGAAGAATCATTTCTTTGTCGAATTTTGGTGACTTTGGACCCGGGTAAATTTGGGACCGGTACATCGGCAGTAATAAGTACAACGTTGGAGTCGTGCCACAGAGCCCCCGATATCACCCTGTTATGCGTGGTGATGGTGGTGGTGATGGTGGTCAATCCACAGTGCCATAACAGTGCCTGTACTACTATCCAGGCTCAGCCTTGCCCATCAGCTGAGATGTGACGAGATCGGGCGCGTTCCATGTGATTTGTTTCGCGAGCCTTTTGCACAACATTGGGAGAGGTCCATAATAAAGGTTTTTGGGTTAGATCGCGTTTTTTTTTATAAATGTGTCGTAACCCTCCACCACCCGACACGGCCAAACAGTAAAACATGTGTCACGTTGACAAAAGACAAATAGTTCACTACTTTAGCCTACCGGTGTATTGAAGAGTGAATCCACAACATTTACAATTTTTTGAGTACGACGTTTAGCTGGTAATTACATCCAGCATCAATTAGCAGCGAAACGTCGTACTGAAAAAAATGTAAATGCTGTGGATTCACTCTTCAATACACCGGTGGGTTAAAGTAGTGAACTATTTGTCTTTTGTCAACGTGACACTTTTTTTTATTGATTGGCCGTGTCGGGTGGTGGAGGGTACGACACATTTATAAAAAAAAAAACGCGATCTATCCAAAAAACCTTTATTATGAATAATATTGGTCACGAAAGCATATGTGTTAAATTGGGAGAGTTGTGAAATTCCACGTGGTTGAAACGATCCAATATTAGCACCAGCAGCAGCAGCCACAGTGTGTGAGAAGAAACTACGTCACATGCAAATCGCATTTCCCATACCGAGACGTGTGATGATAATCTGGAAAGCTAGTCTATATATAGTGCGTCTGTTGTGCATTGCTTCGTACGCGGATCCAAATCTAATTGTGGGGTTCTTACCTAAAAGCGTCGAGTCAAGCAGCAAGCGTGACTGCTATTGAGACACTGAACGTTGACATTGGTCCGGAGTTTTGCTTGCGTTGAACTGACGGTACAAGCAAAGCTGACGCTGCTGATGAGACACTCGATGTTGAAACCGGCCCAGAATTACGGTTGAATTCAACCAATGTTACAGCTGAGCCTGAACCTGCTGACGAATCACTAAATGCTGACATTGATCGGTAGGTTTGTTTTCGTTGAACCAATGCAGCACAGTGGGCCTTACCTAGTAAAATAAAAAAAATAGCTCGTTAAATATAAATGGGGCCGGGATATGCCGGTAGGCCATCATACCGGTACCGCTGAGAACAACGCAATACGCTTGCAGTGTCGCAGCACGATTCTGAACGGCTCCGACACCGATGCCACGATGTTGGAGCACGCAGTAAGCGTGGGGCCGATTTGCAGGACGAGCAGGATTCACCACGAGAACATTCTCACACTTCCACCACTGCCTCGTGACGAAATCGCGCGGGCCATGCCCCATCTCGCCAGATCTCGCAAGCCAAGCAGGTTCAGCCTGGAAAGTCGTGCTGGGATGGAGGACCGCCACCACCGCGCACGTGAGCACGCACGCTCGCTGTCGGATGCTGTCGGGGAGCGGTTAGTGTCGTGGTTAGTGCAAGGGTGGCACATGAGTCGGGTTTTTTACAATCGGGTTTAATTGTCTTTTTATATTAAACCCGATCATCTGAGATTGGGAGAAATCCGGTTTAATTGGTTCGAATTGCAGAACCGCACTACTCAACGATGGGCTTCATCCATTCCCCAAGCGAAGGAACTCACTGGCGCCCACGATTGTGGAGGAGAAGCTCGTGTTCATCAAGACCAGCCTGCCCGCCGCATTCTACGACTACCCCGTGCCCGACGGCCCCCCCCGAGTACGATAGCAGCACCGACGAGGAAGCAGCCTAAGCCTTGGATCAGAGTTTCGTATTCATTAAACCAGGTTTTAATTCCCCGAAATCGGGTTTAATTGTATTAAAGAAAAAGCCCGATGCCTGCCGCTGGAAAAATCGGGGTTTTCCCACCCATGGGTTAGTGCACTGCGCCACGACACTCGGCCACCCGAGTTCAATAGCCGCTGGCGACCAGTAACTGTGACAGTGAATATTTGAACTGGCCTGGGATCTCCCCTCGGTGCATAAGTCACTCTTGCAGTGTTTGTAAAACATCAGCCATGGGGAGACAAAGGCGGCCGGGCGTGGTGTGTTGGTCTACCGCTCGGCCACCCGAGTTCAACAGACGCTCACGACCAGTAACTGTGACAGTGAATATTTGAACTGGCCTGGGATCTCCCCTCGGTGCATAAGTCACTCTTGCAGTGCTTGTAAAACATCAGCCATGGGGAGACAAAGGCGGCCGGGCGTGGTGTGTTGGTCTACCGCTCGGCCACCCGAGTTCAATAGCCGCTCGCGACCAGTAACTGTGACAGTGAATATTTGAACTGGCCTGGGATCTCTCCTCGGTGCATAAGTCACTCTTGCAGTGCATGTAAAACATCAGCCATGGAGAGACAAAGGCGGCCGGGCGTGGAGTGTTGGTCTACCGCCCACTCGTGTGCCGTGCCGGGCTTCCGAGGTGTTCATTAACCAAGACTTGGCTCAACAGTCTGCTCAAGG